GATGAATGGGAGATTTTTAACAGAATGTCCTCTAAGGCTAGTTACGCATGTGTTGCATTTTAATAAAACCAACACAGCGATCAGAACCAACAAATAAAATTAGGAGACTGTCTCACATCAATGGAAAATTCTGAGAAGGAGCCATGACATTTGGTGGATATATTCCAGCTCAGACAGTCCCTCTTTAAGTTGCAGCCTTCAGGCTATTTATGGCCCTCCTCTCTTTGCACCGTGTCCCCATTAGACCCACATTTTTCGTACAGTAATATCTTAGTCTTGTATGAAGTATTACTCCCCAAAAAATTATCTTTGGTAGTTTCAACCTATAAAGGTGAAGAGAGTCTGCTCAACAATTTACAATCCATGGATAATGATGATTCATATACAAAGGTAATTCAAAGTGCTTTTATAATGCATTACAATGTCAGAGATAAAAGGAAATGATGAACTTCTAGATGCATACTGTCAAAATGTACTTGAGATGATCCTGACTGGGGACAGGCAGTAATCCTCTTGTTGAGTATCATCAGTAATTATCATGCTTTATTTATATAACCCAAGATTCATTTTGTATAGCTTCATGGGACATTTGTTTAAACAAAAATCTGTGACAGTGTTCCAGTCAGATCCATTTTTAGCTTGGTATGGGTGACTGTTGCGTTCCTTTCCTTGACTTTTATTGTTGTTGAATTTATTAAGCAGACCACAGAGAGGTACATCAAGAACAGTGGCTCTGTCACCTCAAATCATTAACAGGTTTTCTGCTCAGTTTCTTTATGTGGTGGAAAAACAGTTTTTGATCCAGAGGATGCTGAAAACTCCACTCGCTCTAGAAGGAAAAACTTAAAACTGGGACCTGCCCATTGCTTTGCCAGATCTTGATGGCCAGTTTTCACTGCGATGCATTGCCACTGGTAACACCCACAGAGGAAATCGTTAAATGTGAAACCAAAATATCGTAAGTGGTGCCAGAGACGAGACGTTTTACCTTCAGCATAAACACTGGTCAAAAAAATTAAAGGGAAGTTGCAATAAATATTCGTCCCTTAAGTCAGGTGCATGCTCCTCTAAATGGTTAGACTCTTTATCTTTAATTTTTTTTTTAGCCTTTATCAATTGAAGCTTGAACTTTGTCCACAGTCCTGACGTGGCCTGTGGAGGAGACTTATCTGTTATCACTCGTACACAGCAGTTAGCAGCCTGAGCCTTTTTGGCTTCTCTGCCCTGCTGACCTGTTTCACACAACTTTGGGAGGGTTGCAACCGTGAGTGTGTAGGACATGTGTTCTGCAACGGTGAGTGTGTAGGACATGTGTTCTGCAACGGTGAGTGTGTAGGACATGTGTGCTAACCAGACCTGCTGCAAAACAAGCCCACAAATATCAACCAGCTAGTGAAGAGGATGTCCTAGATACATTATCTGTTTTTGAGTTCCTAAAAATGATGAAGTTTTACGTTGAGAAGGGCGTGGCTGATCAGTGGAGCTTCATTAGTTGTGCATTCATCTGAATAGTAATGGCAGTTAACGTTGCTTTAACCTCACTGTTAAAAATGTAATTAGTGTTTTCATCTGCAGTTAGTACGAAAAGCCTAGCGGCAGTAAAATGAGACAGAAGTGATTGGAGATGTCAGCTTCAGCGGGGTCAGACAGGTCCTTAAAGTAAAAAGAGGTGTGTTGATTTTTCACTTTTGAAATTTGTGTTGCCTTTTTCAGCATTTTAGAGACTCGTGAAATTTCCAGAGCTGCAAAAATATGTTTTATGTCCATTTTAGATGCCCTCCAAGACTCACAATTTAAACCCAAAAATGTGTTTGTTTGTTTGTTTTTCACTAGAGGTTTCTGTACCTAATTTTTAGCATTAACATCGTGGTCTATATAATGTTTTAAATAGGAAAACTGCACAGTTTTCTTTTGCATTGTTCACTTGCATTGTAGTTTTGTTTTGGGAGGTTTTTTTGTTTTTTGCCCAACAAACTGTTGTTATTTAGTCTTAAATAACTTATGTACAGGAGCATATGCAGGAAAGAAAAGAGGAAAGTTTCTCAGCATGGTCAAACAAACACAATGGAAAGCATGAGAAGCAACAGAAATGGAACAAAGCCAGGCGTTCCTTTCGATTATTAACTCCATTTTAATTGTTTGGCCATCCTCCGGTGGCTTTTTCAGTTTGTTTCGTTAAGAGGTTGCCTATGCTTGCTATCTGCTGTCCTCTCATATCTAACCAGCACACACAGGCAGTTTAATGATTAACAAAACCCAGTCATGTTTGTATAAAACGAGCTTTCTACATCAGTCTTTTGCAAAAGCATTAGATTATTATTGCGTGTGTGTGTTTGTGTTTCACTTTTCTCTTTATATTTATATCTTTCTTTCTGTTTGTGAGAGATTTATCTAACAAAAACAAACTGTACAAGTTTATTTAAGATCCTGCTAGTTGCTCCCATACACAATTTAAAGTCAAAATGCTTTGAGAGATGATTTTATGCAGACATCCACGCAACGGCATGTATGTGTAAGGAGGAGAAGCTCAGATTTAAGGACTCTTAAGAAGGAAAAGTACCTTGGGTAAGCTCAAATATTAGTAAGCAAACAAATCTCTAAAACTGAAAATAAGTATTAGTCCTGAACAGCACAAAGTCTAGTTTCTGTGGAGAGAAGAGCTCTGTTAAATACAGCAACCCCTCCTGTCTTTCGGTGAGATGGTGATAATAGTCTGCACTGTGTTTCATGAATGTGAAGTCTGTTTCATGGCTTTGCTGTCAGTCAGATGTTTACCTGCACTTGAGTGACCAGCCTCCAGAGTTTTGTGGCAGTAACTAAATTTTTATGGAATTTAAACATTAAGGATTGACAATTGAGGTAGGGGGGTCATGGTGTGTGTCTGTATGCGATTATAGAAGTAGAGTGTGTGTATATGGTGCTGAAAGTGTGCAAAAAAAGTATTGTAAAAATTACTAACTTAACAAACATGTCAGTATGTCATCAGCGCATGAAAGGATCTGACATGTCAGCTGGACAAAATAATTGGATATTCTTTTAAGTTAATAAACTATGTTGTTTGTTTTGCTTAGTGAGATGTTATCATTTTTCTTTTAGCTGCAGCAAATTTAAAAATATTAGTCAAATGTGTAAGTGTGATTAGCCTCTAGGCAAACTGTATATCAGATAAACTCAGGCTCAGACTGTATACATTTAATTTATCACTTTACTGAATATATGGGAAAGTCAGATTATCATAAAATTTCCTGCAACATAGAGGGGAATAAAATATAAAGTTGCTTCTAAAACCATTTCTTGATTGGTGCTCAGAGAAAAATGCAAACATTTCTGTCTAAGAAAATAAATAAATAAATAAATACATTTAGCGCCTCACTGGTCTCTTATCTGGAACATAACCTACACCGGAGCAGAGAGGTGTGCTACAAGAAGTTAAATGGGTTAGCAAGCTTAAACTCACTGTTCTTTTTTACCTCGCTAGATCGTTATGGCAACTTGTTCTGAACACATAACCTGGTCAGGATCAGGTTATGTTCAAAGTCTAAACATTAGCTAGAGACATCACATACTCACTGATTTGTTTTTTGTTTTTGTTTTTAATTTACGGTCTGCTCTAAGTGTAATAGACATTATCTGCTGCTATACGAAAAAGTTCCACATGAAGTCTGTTCAGTCATGTGTTACAAACACCAGTGAATGTAGTTCAGTCATAAAGTTACAGGGATGCAGACTGTGCGTCACATTGTCACGGGAGATCGGTTCAGTTGGTGATGCAGAAAATGTCTTAATGTTTTCTGCTTGATCTGTTTCTCTGACACTTCTGGAACCGCAGCTAATAGAACACAGATTAGAAAATTCCTCTGCTTGATTTTTGAATCACTCAGCATTTATAGACGTCAAATCACAAGACTTCAGAAGACTTTGTCCTGTCTGTATCTATCATCTGTTCCTTTTGATAATGTCTGATTGACGCTCAGTTGGTAAATTTTTAAAACCATTGTCATGATACCAAATCTCTCTGGCGCCTAAGTTTGTGAATGCAATAACTCGAGAACAAGGCAACATAGGAACTTCAAATTGATACCATAGGTGTGCTCCTTAAAAATATCAAATGAGTTTGAATCTCAGTGATCTTGGCGTAAAGGTCAAAGGTTTTCTGAAACTCTTGTGAATGCAAAAACCTGAGAAAAGGATGACATAGGAAGTTGAAATCGATAATATAAGTGTGTCTGCTAGGAGCCTGAGAGGTAGCACAGGAAGTGGCCAGTATTTTTGGTTTTTGTCAAGTCAGCTAACACAAAGAAACCCTGGCTATGTTGATCATGAGTGGCAGCACACTTCTTCTAAATAGGTTTGCAGCATAACCTGCCATAGCACTATACCGTGTTAAGAAGTGAACCACTTTTTGTACCACTGGGCAATCAGAGTGCCATGTTTATATGCAGCATGAAGTTAGGATCTGCATTTCGAGTAAGAATACTGTACACGGGGAATTACTTATTGTTGTACTAAGAAAGCACTCCCTCTGGAAACCAGCTCTGTTGCTTTCACATAGATTTAGTCGACACATTTTGTCCTGTGGTACCTGTCAGGGAAATTATTAACTTAAAAATAAAAAAAATGAAAACCGTGAAAAGATACAAAAATAAATCATAGTAATGATTGAACCTCCCTGAAGTGAAATTAAATGAAACCAAGTTCTGTTTTACTGTGAATTTTGACACCAGGGTTTTAATTTCATTAACAGCAAATCTACATCTGTTCCAAATATCACACATAAAACTGTATTTTATTATTAAAAGCTGTATATACCCTCCCACCCAATCATGACTGCTCACAGTCTAGTTAAATGATATAGTTATCATTTTGTATTTAAATCAGGGTTATTGGTTCTTTCTTTAAGAAGCACGCTTTCAGTATGTAAAATTAGAACTGATGTCTTTTTTGTCCTCATGCTCTCTTCCTCAATATTGACATCTGGGTTCTTTCTCTCTCATTTGCAGATTCAGTCTTTTCTCTGCCTCCTCCCCTTCCCGATCCCTTTTCCCCATTGGCTGTTGTCCCCAGACAGTGCACAAAAGTATGGGGTAAAAGTGCTGAGGAGACACCAGGAGAACAAGAGCTGAAGAGGCCCACTCACCTGCACAGGTAAGATCACACAATGTGCGTCGTTGGAAATGTTTTGAATAGGCAGTGCATCTCTTGGCATGTCTGTCACATTAAGACTCTCATTTAGATCTGTATAGCTATATTCTGTTATGTTTACACATGAAGTTTAAGGTTTTAGGAAGGTGCATTGTTCATCGGTTCTTTCCACAGTATAGTATTTAAAGCCATCTAAACATAATCATGAAAGCTATTAAGGTCCACTAAGAAGCATACAAACCCAGCCCTTCAAGCTGCCATTGTTCTGTAGTGTCTCACACCCATCCCCCACTCAGGTGGGATGGCTTACCTCAGTGAACCTTTTTATCAGGTGGAAGCCACACTGGTCAAACACAGTCTAGTGTTGTCTGGTAAATTACTGACCTCATCACAATCCCACAGACCTGTTTGTTACCCGACACCATATGGTGGCGCCACAAGCTTCATGATAGATAAACATAAAGTTAATGAATAATGGAGAGAGGTTTAAAAGCGGATCAGATAATTATGTTACAAACTACACCAAAGTGCCCATAGACAACCTACGCAGATACAGGAAGAACATGTAAAGTACACACAGAGAGGTCTTGTCCCGATGGTGGCAAATTGTATCTATATGGAATAAAAAAATCAAAAATAGATTACATGCTATTGTTTCAGTGTATAATGTATAGTCCTTTAACCCCCCAAAAATCCTAATCATACCACAAAGGTTTTTAATAGGCATCTTTTGATGGTTGACTTGAATCAAAGTAGTCAAGTGTATCTGTACAAAAGAAGCCTGACTGTCTTGGAGTCCGTTATCTAAATAAAGTATAATTATCTTTTATCTTTAAAGCCAATTCAGACGAATTCTGCAAAAGAAGAGCCATAAAGGTTTATTGTGAGCAATAAAAGTGCCACTGCGGATGTTTGCAGACTGCTTTTTGACATTGCGTTTCTTCATCTCTGCCTGAACCGTTATCATGCTCCATTGCTGTCTTTTACCACAGTGAGACTATTTCTTATTATTAGTTTATTAATAATTCGACTTTTTTTCCTCATTCTGTGTGGATTCTGCATACAGTCGGTTTAAGAAAAAATACAATAAAACTTTCTGTCCACTTATTTTGTAATTTTTAGGAGTACTTTGCACCATAACAAGTATAGGTGTGCACTGCTTCCTGTGATGACAGGATGTGACTCATACTGTCTTTTCTTGGGGCACTGCTTATGTTCTGGATCTAAATGTGTTTTTGCATATCCTTAAAATGAGGGTCCATTTAAAAATAATACATTGATGAGGTAACTAGATCTAGTTAGATTAATCAAATCAAGAAGGCCATCAGTCAGTTGTGTTCACTTGCAGACAGCTTTCCAGCATACTTGGTGGGGCCAGACAATTGAATTCAGTTGCTTCCAGTTATTATGAAACATGATAACGGTGACTTTTTTTCTATTGCTTTGAAGCTCTGATGTCTTTTTGTGTAATGAATTAAGTTCACCTCTTGCCATTGCAGCAATGCACTTTTTCCCCCGCCCCTTAATCTTCGAACTTACTTGTCCTTTAGCGTACCTACAGTATAAGTAAGCCTTTGGTCACTGAGCTCCAGAGGAAGTAAAATTCATAAGTTTTCCATGGAAGAAATGGTAGAAGAATTGTGTAACAGCTGTCTGCAGCTGATTTTTGCCTCGGATCACTCGAGGTCTCTCACACTTCCTGTGGTGAGCGTGCCCGTGTCATAGTCCAGCTTATGCCTTGCTTATACTGTGTTGCAGACATGGACACAGACATCTGGAGGGCCGACGGTCGAATAGTCATTCCTGTTATACTTTGAAGTCTGCTGCCGTAGATAGTTGATTGTAATGTAGATCGGTAGGAAGAGTCCACACAGTCCCAAAAGAACAGGCAGGCATGGATCATTGCACCCACTGTCTGATGGGATTTAAGTCACTCAGGCCGAAGCGGACCTCAGTGGGCTCGCAGGCATGGAAAGACATATCATAATATAATGAAGACATTATGAGCCAAAACAAATTATGAGAGAGATTCTGTGTTAAACCAGAATATATGAATTATTAACCCAAAGAATCCAAAAACCTCAAGTTACATTATGAGGTTTGTTAGTCAGTAGTGTTACTGGTTGGATGAGTGTTCGAATGTGTTGTGTAAAATGAGAGAAACTGGCCAGGTGCTCCCAGTTGCACTGATTAACTCTACCTACCAGGAAACTGCAACCTAACATAGAAAAAAACACACAGTAGTCCCAGCAGAAGCAGGAGGGCTGTCACTTGCCAGCTGTCCTTTCAAGGCAGGCTTTATTGTCAAATGCGCTCAAGTCAGGAACTAACCGTGACCAGACATCTCCACATCCTCCAGTGCCTCCAAATCTTTAAGTTTTGTTTTTCATTTAATGTATATTTCAAGATTAAGAAAATCATGTGTGAACCGATTTTAACTGTCTTTAAGCTGGAGTCAGCTCTAACAACACTGACTGAATGCAAAAGAACTGAAACTATAGCTTAAAGTTTGGTGCATGACCTTACTGTGCCTAATCTGTTTTTGTGTGAGTGTCAACCACAAGTGTAGACCTTGTCTTTTTAATGCTGACAGCTAGAAGCATGATATTTGTGTGTCAAACCACCAACATGCCTTAAATGCTTCAGCTAAAATGGCCTCGATGTGAAACACTATGACTGAGTTTAATGTCTTAAACCAAATGCAGATGGTCAGCCAGACTTAGGCAGGTATGCGTGGATTTTGCTGCAGACTACTGGTGGTTAATTACAGGTCCAGAAGTTGTGGTTTCATCTACATGTTGTTTAGCTTTCTTCTTAAGGAGCCTCCCCCACCGACCCACCCACTTGTTTCCCAGAAATGATCTTGTTTGTATGGGATGCAGAGGAAGGGAAAGCTTAATTATCCATGAGAGTAAGGGAGAAGAGGAGATTGAAGGAAAACTAGCATAAGTCCATGCTTGTCTGTTTGGTGATATAATACTGATAAGTGTGATGTATTCCTATACTGCGTTGAGTCAGAACAAATTCAAAGGAACAGAGGAAACCTGATGGAGACGGGCAGAGTGAGGAGGAGTGAACGAGGCTCGTGGAATAGAAAAAGAAGAGCAAACAGGAGTGCAGCAGAGGAGAGTTGTTGCTAGGAGGCTGAGAGAGCAACACAATACAGAGGCAGGAAGGATCCAGGGAGCAGTTCAGATCTGTTAGCTCATCAGGCAGAGCTCGCACCGCTTTTTGAGCTGTTTACATTGATAATTGTAATGAAGATAAATAAGTCTTAATGTCCTGACTCGGCTCTCTGGGGCCAAAACCTGGTGGAAACAGGTGAAGGCAAAATTAAATTCTTGTAAGTTGTTTAGAATTAAAAACACCTACACCATCTCTAAACACACTAATGAGCAGTACCCTTACACCCAAATGTTTCTAAAAAAAAAAAAAAAGACTAAACAGTTTTCAGATACAATGAAAATCCCCAGCAACACAAACTAGTGCCTCATAACCTACCTGTGCCTGGTTAACAGCAAACAAATCCTGTGTCTTGTAATCTTTAATGCTACAACGGGATTTCCTTAAACCTAAAATATAACTCAAAGTGTCTTGTCTGTCCCAAAAGCTCTGCGATGAGATGTCTGCAGACGCAGATGAGAGGAAAGTGAAAGCAAACAGGCACCTCGGTCGTGTCAAAAAGCAGAAAAGAAGAGGCTGCGCTTGATTTTTAACAATAAATAACAGCAGCAAAAGTCTTTATCTCATTGAGATCACTGAAATTATTCGATTGGAAACAATGCTGGGGAGCGGCTTTTCTGACTGAGATGATCAAGAAGCACTTTCCCTAAATGAGCCCTGATGTCTCCCAGATGAGCAGACCCTTTTTGGCTTTCAGAGCTTGCAATCTTATATCATTATCCAGTCGTCTTTTTTATTTTACTTTTAGTCTTTATGACTTCAGAGTGTTGTTAAGATTGGAAATTTGCCCAGAAGTGTGCAGCCTCACAGTGAAAACATTTACTCGGTTAGACTTTGTCACAAGTATGGTTAAGCAGTACCAAAACATGTAGTTTATCAATAACTTGATGAAAATATTGCGTTAAAGTGGCTGCTTCACTGGTCTGCAGGAAAAAGGAGAAAGTGAGGGGAACTCCAGGTAAGGACATTTTCAGAGGGGAAAGCGTGACTAAACAGAAACCTGAGGCATAGCTGAGCCTCCTGAAAGGACGGTATTGTCTGTTCAAGCTCACATGTCGTCCTCATTTCTTATTGGTTTAAGCAAAGGATACAAAAGCAGAGAGGAGGACAATGAATCCTCAAATGTTTGCCTTCCGTTAAATTGCCCTCTGGCGTAGTAAACGAGTAAACATGTTGTCAGTGCTGTGATTTCAGGCAGAGTACCTTATCGTGCTTCATCCCGACAGTTAATGTGGTAAACTTGAACTCTCCTTACACCAAGCAGATCATTTGCTAATTGGTTTCTCATATTTAGTTTGGACTGGTCTGGACACGCAGCTTGGTAATCAGATCAGTTCAGGCTCACAGTTGTGAACGCATGCTGCATGAACACACATAAATAAAGTGAACAAAATAGCAAGGCCTGATGATTGCAGATCTAGTTAGGTAGCTCAAAGTTAAATTATCTTTGTGTCTGCCGTAGGAGGAGTATTTTTTGTTTTTAATTATTCCAAGAAAAAAAACTTACCCTACCTGTGATTTGATTATGGTGATAATGGAGACATGCCACCTCATAAGTTTTACAGGAAGTTTTTAAGTGTTTTGTAAGAAATCAGTTTAACCCTCACTGGTAAGCACAGCCATCACTTCTGAGTGAACCAGCATGTTCACTCAGAAGTAACTATGACAGCCAAACAAACAAAGCATTATTATACACCATATCAGTCAACCTGTGAAAAGTCAAGTGATTCAGTGTGAAGATGACACCACTCTGCTTCAGTCTTATCAGCAGTTTGACCTCTGACCTTCTTGATCAGATCAATACGTAATCTTGCTGTTGCTTTGGATAAACAAACTATTCTGACATAGTTTTACACAACGTCTTACAACACAAACGGGGGTTTCCATGTGATCGTTTTGTCAGTGTGGTTGAGGTGTCTTCTCTTCCTTTTTCCACCCATTGTTTCTCAACAGAGGGAAGTTGTAAACCTGCTCATTTCACCATAGATAACTGTTCTCCCTCGTGCTTCCTCCTACCTGAAATTACCTGAGTGATTTGAGAATAAGGTAAAAGATGAAAACTAAAGATCAGTTTGTAGTGAAGACTAAAGTCTTTGTTTCTTCTTCTGTGTGTCTGCACAGGTGTCGGCGTGTGCGGTAATCTGTCATGGGGCTGCTGCCAAAGATGAGGCTTAAGGTTGTGGTGTCACTGACTATGGTCAACCTCTTTATCTTCATCATCATCTCGCGGAACATCAACCAAGACAAAAGTGGACATCAAAAGATTCTTATCCCTTCCAAACGCTTCTGGGCTAAAGTGGCTCCCAGCTCGGCCTACTGGAACCGCCAGCAGCAGATTCTGGACGTTCACAGCAATCACATCTTCATGACGAACCGCAGCAGCGACATCCCTGAGTGGCTCAATGACACCAGTTTGACATCCAACGTCTGTCAGCCTAACCTCAGGGTGACCACTCAGGTAAAAGATTACAACTCCCTGCTGCCCCGCTTCAAGGACTTCCTGCTTTACATGCGCTGCCGCTCCTACCCGATCATTATGGACCAGATGGATATCTGCAAGGAGCCACCGTTTCTGCTGCTGGCTGTCAAATCGCTGGTGCCTCACTTTGATCGCCGCCAGGCCATCCGCCAGTCCTGGGGAAAAGCAGGCGTATTAGCCAATCGAACAGTGGTTACCATTTTCCTCCTTGGTAACGCAACACCTGGAGACCACCACCCAGATCTGTCTGGTATGCTGCATTTTGAGAATGCCCGCCATAAAGACATCATCCAGTGGGATTTCCGTGATTCGTTTTTCAATTTGACTGTCAAAGAAGTTCTTTTCCTGGAGTGGATCCAGGCACGTTGCTCCGGCGCCCAATTCATCTTCAAAGGCGACGACGACGTCTTCGTTAACACCTACCGCATCATGGACTTTCTCAAGGGGCTCTCGGGACCCAAAGCCAAGGACCTGTTTGTGGGTGATGTGATCACGAATGCGGGGCCCCACCGAGACAAGAGGGTCAAATACTTCATACCAGAGAGCATGTATGTTGGAATCTACCCACCGTACGCAGGAGGAGGCGGCTACCTTTATTCAGGTGACATCGCCTTTCGCCTGCATAACGCATCTCAGCGCGTAGCGCTGTACCCAATAGATGACGTCTACACGGGTATGTGTCTTCGTAAGTTGGGGCTGGCCCCCGAAAAGCACAAAGGCTTCAGGACTTTTAACATAGAGGAGAAATACAGGTCGAACCCCTGCGCTTACAAGAGCTTAATGCTGGTTCACCCAAGGACCCCACAGGAGATGATCCAGATCTGGGCCTGGCTCAGTAGACCCAACCTGACCTGCCAGTGACTACAGTCAGTCTGAAAACATGTCAGGATAGATCACAAGGAAGGCCAAAGAGCCAAATATTTTAACTTGAACTTTAAAAGTTGGCAGCTTTAAGTTAAGATATTACTACGATGTCCACACGGATCCTCTGCCTGGTTGAGCGTTGTGGCCTGAAAAAATGAAGGCGGTGCCGATTTTTCACATTTTGTATTATGGCTCTATTCCACAGAGGAGTTAACTCTGCTTAACTTTCAAAGGACCTTCACCCAAAGTGAATATCTTTGAGTTCATATATTTATATCACAGCTATTTATATGGCCTTTATGTGCTTTAACACTGTCACCTCCACCACAAAGTGTCTCAATGCTGTATTAAATAAATGAGAGCTGGAAAGTGTCTGCCTGGCACCCAAAGGTCGTTTTGGTAAAGCTATAACATGCTGGTCAGGTTATTGAAGTGAGTAAAAGCAATTGATTGCTTTCTGAACACTGAAAAACAGTAGTTCCTGCATTCCCGGTGAACACTTCCTCGTAGTCATAGCTGGAGGCTTAGATTGTGCTGCTATTTCCAACCACACTCCCAGAAGTATTTACTCACGACTCTAAAGCTCAGAGTTTTTGTTCACATCATTTCCTCAGTTTCCACTGGTGAGACTCTGCTCTCAGTCAGCCACAACATTAAACCCACCTGCTGAAATGTTTTTTTTAAAGGCCAGGTCTCTTTACCGAAGCCACCTTTGTGGTTTCTTAAAAGCAGTTCCCTTAATTGGTGTGGCTGATCAACGTTGGAGCAATTAAAATGAGACAGGGATGTCTAGCCTCGCTCTCCACAGCTCGGCCGGTCGGGGCTCAGAGAAATCCAAATGCTGGTCTAAATCAGCTTCAGGTTCAAAAAGGTTTAACAAAAGCCCGAAGTACATTTTCACAGGTGTGTCATTTCAAGCGTTCGGTGTGACATATTTGCTATGTGCCCGTGGAAAGCGTTGAATGAGGATAAATGCTGCTTTACTGTGACCTGAGTGAGTCTAGATTCTTTAAAACAGGCTGAACACGTACATACACAAATTGTTACTTGATTAAAGTGTCCGTGGGTTTTGCAAGAGACTCTTAAGGGTTCTGTGTGTTGGTGAAAGCTTTAAAGTGTGTGTGAACTTGTTTTATTTAAAAGTTGATCCTTAGCTCATTGTTGTTTAGCTTCATTCACCTGACAAGAGACATCCTGCACATATTTACCTTTCCCTCGTATTTCATAAAATTCCTTCTGAGCAGTATTGTATGCACGACAAGGTGAGATGCTTGACTCGCACACAGCATGAAGGGTAATGGTGTTACTTCGTCTCTGTTAGAGCTCCCCCTGCTGGTCAGCGTGGCGGCAACAAAACATTTTTTGCAAGAGCTTTGTAAACAGTGGCGATCCCACGACTCCCAAACTGCCAACCACCTGATTTATTTAAAGCATCGGCTTATTAATTATCTCTGTGTTAGTCTCTACATCCTCCGTATATCCGTTATGTGACATTTGGAAATCATCTTACAGACAATCGCACCAGGTCTCTTGTTTTTTCTCTTTTCTTTTTGAACTTCAGTATATTCATGCAGGATAAGACCAACACTAAAAAGAGAAGATAAGAACCTGAAAGACGTGTATTTCATGCTTCTGGATTATTTAATATTTCACTTGTTGTGTGCATAGCGCTGTCACTGCTGACATACATGCCGTTAATCGTTGCACTCCTCACTGTGTAGTTTTGCGGCTGCCTGAACTGTTTACATCGCTTTCTAATTGTTGCTTCACCCTGATGATTGTCTACAGGTGTGTGGGTGTTGAATTTGTTGATTGGAAAAGGTGCACAATTTATCCAAGTTTGAACAGTCAGTGTTTTTCTGGCCTGAATGTCCCGAATGTGTCCAAGCTGGGGATCATGAAGGAAATTCAGCTGAATGTAACGAGGCCTGTGGCTGTTCCTTCATTGTGTGTTTTTTCTATTTAATCAAAGTTTTTGTGGAGTATCTGTGTTGTTTTTAACCCACAGAAAGATATTTTTTTGTGTGTGTGGTTTCTTTAAACTTTGGTTAATGTGAGTTCCAGACGCTTTTCGCTGCCTGCACGAGTCAAAGATGATTACCAAATCTGTGCCTGATGTTTGTATGTACTGTATGTCACGCAAACTTAAATGTGATCGCTTTAACATCATGTTTCAATAAAGCTATATTTTAATGGTTTTGTAGATGCTGTTATGTGATTTTTATGGTTTCTAACGATGTACATGAGAATTTAGAAAAATCAATCACGTCTGATTACAAAAAATCTTGATGCTTTTTAAACCTCAAGTCACTTTTTTTTTTTTTATAACAAGCATTTTAAAGCATGTGTGTATCATGTTCAGCTAAGAACATGAAACTGAGGCTGTAATTCACATGGGCTCCAAAACATTGAGCACTTTGACCTCTTTCCAAAACAGTTGGTCTCTGTGCATTAATAATAATATCTCTGATATATTTGATTGCATACATTTAGTTTTGCAGTTTCTTGCTTGCATTAAGCTTTTAAAGTGAGCAGTTTATTCAATATTTAATAAACTACATATATATGTTCAACTTTTCATTACCAAGTCTCCATATCATATCTTTTAATGTCAATAAAATGGAGGACATGATCCCCATCGCCTCACTGGTCTGTGAACAGTGGACCTCATGTTGTGAAATCTACAGATTCCTTCCTGTAAAAGGTTATTTATCTCTTTAGTTAACCTTTAAAAATTGACAAGAACACGTGGTTCAATTCAGTTGGAAAAAACAATGAAAGTCCATTCTAATGTAGTAATTGTGTCTCACCAGCAGAGGGCAGTAGCCGATCATTCTGCGGTATTTTCTCCGTGTTTGGCGCTGACATGGATTTCTGCGCAGCTTGAGAGCAAGAATGTAAACAGTGGGTCAAACAGCTGAAACAGGATGTGCGATGTCAGTTTCTCACAGCATTTATTTCAGTTGTTAAGCACAGAGATTGGCACGATTAGGAACAAGAGGAGAGTTACGCTCAGTGAGCATGTGGGAAGCGTGTGTATGTTTGGGAAAATTTTAGAGGTACGTTTAAGAAATATATGCTGCAAAATTTGTTTAGCTTTTTAATGTTTTTGTGAGATTTTGCTCCTTTCTTGAATATATTCTTAGACTGTTCTTTTTCCTTTACTTACACAGTTCAGTTTTTAAACCGATTTGTGACGTTTGCAGCACTGATGTGGAAACAGTTTTATTTACATTTTGCACATATCTGCATGCATATATGTAGATATGTTATAATATCTTTTTTTTTTTTTCTCTGGGTCTTCAAGTTTATTGTAGCAGAGATGATTACGCCTAACCAAAAAGATTCAGAGGCTGTACAAAGTCAGACCTTTTTGATGAAGTAAAATCCCTGCAATGATAAAAAGAAAACCCCAGCAATGACTGGCACTTGGTGACTGTAGGAAGGAGAAACTCGCTTTGAACAGGAAGAAATCAGGCTCAAGGAGGGGCAGCCATCTGCCGGGACCAGATGGGGGTGAGGTGAAAGAAGTACATGTGCTCTAAATCATCCTGAAATCAACACCCATGATAACACTAATGCAGCAGTCGTCTGTTATGATAACAGGAAGTTACTGTTAAAAATTTGGAATTCTGCTTGTTTAAAACTCATTAATATAAACAGATATCTGGCATCAGCAGACCAGAAGCTCTCAGCTCTCTCTCTTTCTCTGGGATCATTTTTTTAATTATTTATTTATTTATTTATGGACCTCTTCATTCTGAGAGAAAGAAAGAAAAAAGTTGTCAGAGACAGTCATATGCCTGAGTCGTTTTCTCCCGCAGGTGTGGGAGTGTAAAAACTGTGTATGTGTGTTTTCTGCAGACAGTCGGTGCGTACTCCTTTCTGATAACAATCCAATGACCTTTTAAGGGAAAGAGATGCAGCTTTTTGGACTTCGGCTCTGTTTCCGCAGATCTTTGCCAACAGAGAGTCCAAAACCTACACAACCTCTCCAGCTTCACAGACACAGAATTCTGGCGTTTGTTAAAGTCTTCTTGGTATGTAAGTGTGAAGAAATGCTGAACAATAAACACCTGAATCCTGTTACATCAGAGCAGATTTAACTTGCTGTTGCAATAAGAACAGATCGGCCAAGCCTTCAGCCTGAAGTGTGTGCAAACTTAAAAAGGCTTCACAGTGTGGTGTGTGCTGCAGAGCATCCATGTCCTGGAAACAAATTACAACCAGGAAGGGAGAGAGAGCTCGGCCTACTTTGTTTTTTTTTTTCTGTGTGTACTTTAGGTGTTCAGCCTTGAAAACTATTTCCCTTTCCTCTTTACGTTCCGCAGTTGCATCCTTTGCATCCTTTGGAAGACTTCAGCACTCATTAATAATAAGGATGATGATAATAGTAGACCCTGCTTGTCTCATGTGTAGCCATGACATCCTGTTTAAGCTCAGGAGTCTGCTCAAAGTAACAACCGCTAGTTTCTCCACAGTAAGAAAAGTGCAGTTAAACTGGTTATCTCATATTTAGCTGGGGTCAAACCTGAACGCTGTAATGTGTTTTTGTGTTTTTATTCATTCTAATTTATTTGATAGTGTATTCTTTCCATTAATCATAGAGACTCGAGTAGTAACATTAACTTGTTATGAAACTTCGGCTTTTATATTTCAGTCAGTTCCCAAAAAGAGAGTGAAACCAGTTGCAGTGAAAATGGAAAAACGAACGCTCCGTGCAGTGAGTCCAGGTTTACTTTTCCCTACTTGTATAGACAGGCCCTCATTGTCCTCTTTCGTGCCCGTTTGGAAATTGCAGGATTGTAATTCGTTCCAGGTGACAGGAGCCGGAGAAGTGACATTTTTCATGGTTCTCCTTCACACAACTGTTCTTAGAAAGCTGTTAATTGTTTATCCGTCGTGGGAAGTAAAAGCACCTGGAGCTTCTGCTGGATGCAGGACAGGCTACGCCCACCTACAGTCTGATCCAGGTCTACATGAATCAGAGAGCGACAGCTGAGTCATTCTGACCACGGAGCAGTTTTCCAATTTCTCTTCCAGAGAATTCTTTTTACTAAGAGGAAAAAATGTACTGTTGAAGATCTTCCTGCCTCCCTCTGTCTGTGGGCTGTAGCATTATTTTGAATGCATTCCTACTTAATGTCTTTATAATCATATATTTGAGTAAAAGAAGATGTTTTGTTCATTGCATTTTATTGCACACTGTATTATATAGACTGAATATTTATGCCTCACTGCATCACTCTGGGAATAACTAAGAGCTTGCAAACAAGAAATGTTCAGCACAAAATTTGACCCTCAAATGAGCTCGAAAGCTGGACTCATTAGTTAAGGACGGCAGTGCATCGAGCCCAGTGAAAAGTGAAAAGAAACACACAGCGCTGATGCATGCAGACTCTGCTGCTGCATAGCATGACCTCAGACTGGAAGCACTGTGCTTGAAAGCATAACCTGCACAGTTTAACTTCAGGGTGTAAAATACGGCTGTTTTCTCAGAACCAGCAGTGCCTCAAAACCACTCTGGCATCTATGCTATGAAGCAACAGACCGAAACCCAACCTTTCCCTTTTCAGTATGCAACATTTTAACTTAAACTACAATCTTTTCCTAAACCTGTTTAGGTAGCTTCTGGTACATGAGCAAAACTAAACAGCAAGTGAGAACAAAGTGGAAAACATAGAGGTCCAAATGAGACCTATAAGGCTGTATCAAAGCAGATGGAGAAAGTAGCTGCATCCCTTGCACCATGGCACCAACTCCAAGACGAGGTATGTCATAAACATACATGTGGGGTTAGGGTGTGCAAAATGTGCATTTTGCATTAGGTTTTACCATCATTAATGCTGTGACAGGAAATATTTTAATAAAAGCAATAGTGCTGAAAGGAAATGTGGTCTTCTGATTGACAACCCTCCAACTCTAAAAGAATCTACCAGTATTTTTTTGGTGCACAGTCTGGTGCCAAAAGCTACCTTGTGTGTAATGGTAAGATGCAGGAAGCTGAAAACCCTGTGTTAATGTGACACCTCGGGATCAGAACCCACTAGAGATTTCCTTGACTCAGCAACCTACAAACTACTAGACGCTTCTCTAGCTTTGGCATTAACCTTTGAGTGCAAAGATCAAATCGGAGACAAAACTTCCAAAATCCAAAAATAGCTCCAAAACCTGAGGTTAAAGTTAACGTCAGCTTAACGGATTTTGACGTTAAAGTCAAGCAGAAGGAGGTGATGATCAAATCTAAACGGAGGAGTCAGGCAGACCACAGCCTGACTCACCGATGACATCATCAGGATGCTGCCAGGAAGCCGATATGATAAAGCGCAGATGAGGTTCTGGGAAACTGATGGCAGCAGCGATTTTTCTCTCACACACAGGCACCCATGAGCTGATCTGTACGCCAGGCGTCCCAGGAGCTCTCGCTTCCTCATCTGTCTCTGAAATCAGTGTAGCACCTTTTGCTTATCATCACACACCTTTTACTCACACAGGCAAATACAGCCACATGTTTTTAAGCCTGTGCTGGCGACAGAAAGCTTCTGGCATCAACAGGCGTCTGGAGATAAAAAATTAAAAAAAAGAAGCAGAAGAAGAAAAGGTTATTAAATGTCTAATTGAATCCTCGAATGTTTCTGTGCCCTGCAGCACTCAGACTACAAGATCAGTCCAGCTGCTCTTTTATTAAAAAAGAAGAAAAAATGAAAATGGAGGAAGAAGAAAGGAAGGGAAATTTTCATGCCTGACTTAGTGCCTTTTGTGGAACAAAAACAGTGCTGTGAAATCATATTAGCAGTGCAGATAGTCGTGCATATTTCCATATGTGTATGTTTCATAATTTTTAAATAAAAAACAAACAAACTGAGTCTCATTTGAGTTTTTTCCTAGCTGGAAACAGTGAGAGGAGGGAAGCCGCTCACTGAAGGATGGTGGCCGTGGTGGGAGTGAGTCACTGCTCTGATCCACATCTCTTCACTTTCCAGCTAAATTCAC